ACAAGAACAACACTTTTGTTTTTGCCCCCCATTTTTCATGAGCTGAACTCAAAGATCTAAGACTTTTTCTATGTGAACAAAAGGCCTATTTCTCTCAAATAGTGTTCACAAATCTGTCTAAATCTGTGTTAGTGAGCACTTCTTCTTTGCCGAGATAATCCATCCACCTCACAGGTGGACAGCTGCTGCAACAATTGGTTTGCATAACCAAAGAATTTTGCACAAACTGTCAGAAACTGTCTCAGGGAAGCTCATCTGCATGCTTATCATCCTCATCGGGGTCTCGACCTGACTGAAGTTCGTCGTCGTAAACGACTTGAGTGGACAAATGCTCACATTCGATGGCATTTGGCACTTTGGAGAGTTGTTCTCTTCACAGATTAATTCTGGTTTTCACTGTACAGGGCAGATGGCAGACAGCGTTATGGCATTGTGTGGGTGAACGGTTTGCTGATGTCAACGTTGTGGATCGAGTTGCCCATGGTAGCGGTGGGGTTAGGCTGAGGCAATTGGGAGTTATCCTCTGGAACTCCCCTCCTCCCTGCCTTCCTCCTCCCGCGCGGCTCTGATCTCTGGTGGGAGGAAGTGACGCGTGGCACTCACTTCCTCACAGCTGGCTGCCGAACAGGAAGGGGCCCGGTCGCGTTGTTCAAGCGTCAAAGTGCATGAACAGGCCCTTGCTGACACATGCTCACTGGGTGGCCCTTAGTGCATGGGTCACCCGGGGGGCATCCTTAGTGTGCGGGCCTGTGCGGTTCTGTGCAGCCGCACCGCCCGGTCCATGGGGGCTGCACACATTGCCCCGCAGAAGCAACTGGGCCCGGGGCAGCTACCTCATTTGCCCCGCATTAAAGACAGCCATCGGTGTATGTTATGGACAATGAACACAGATGCATGTTGCAAGAATCTGTACACAATTCCTGGAAGCTGAAAACATCCCAGTTCTTGCATGGCCAGCATACTCACCGGACATGTCACCCCAGATCCCCTTCCCAATACAGTAAAACTGCACATTTTAGAGTGGCCTTTTATTGTGGCCAGCCTAAGGCACAGCTTTGCAATAATCATGCTGTCTAATCAGCATCTTGATATGCCACACCTGTGAGGGGGATGGATTATTTTGTCAAAGGAGAAGTGCTCACTAACACAGATTTAAACAGATTTGTGAACAGTATTTGAGAGAAATAGGCCTTTTGTGTACATAGAAAACATCTTAGATCTTTGAGTTCAGCTCATGAAAAGTGGGGACAAAAATAAAAGTATTGTATTTATAATTTTGTATAGTGTGTGTGTGTATATATACATATATATATGTATATATATATATTTATATATATATATATATATATATGTGTGTATATACACACACTTAAATAGCATGTCGACTACTATGTCAATTATTTTTCAAACTCTATCAAGACTTGACTTGACCTAGTTAATAATAATATGATTGTGACTGTGCAACTAACTTGCCAATAGAAATATAAGATACACCTAAGGAATAAAGGCAGAGAGAAAATTCATAGGGCAACACTATATAGTCAAAATGTGGCCCCTTTAAGTAAATATTGCACTCACAAAAAATCAGAGTATTATGAGCCCATCAAGGTTTCTTTAAATGCTCAGCTACAGGTGTCCTCAATGTCCCAGGGTACATGTCAAAAGGAAAAAACTGGACATAGTATAGTAATGTTGGAAATATAAATAAACACTTTAATTGAATGCACTTACAAAAAGTGAAAGATAAAAATGCCCATCAGTTAGTCTCTGTGTCCCTCTGAATCAGCTGAATTGGAGACCAGAATAAGCAATGATATGCAGCTCTATGCGTTTCGTCTCTTGCTGGAGACTTCCTCAGGAGCAATTAAAAATAAAATGCAATAAAATACAATATAATACAATTGATAACAAAAATAAGGCATAACACAACATCAGAGTCCACAATTCCTTTTGTAGGTCTTCTTGTCGTTCGTTCTACCAATCAGGGGCATTAGAATCACCTGTTTCCAGTCTTCTCATCTGTTCACTGCCAAATAAGGACTTCCGTTTTTCAGTGGAACGCATATGCGTTCCACCCGTCGGCAGTTCACGATGACGTCATCAGTTCGCGTCTGGAACGCACATGCGTTCCACTTCGCTCAAAAGGGAACCAAAAGAAACACAAAGATGAGGAGAACAGCGTCCAACATATCAAGCAGACTCTATGTTTACATAGGGTTACAAATATATCCTAAGTGTACACCCAAGATAAAAAAATCAGATATATACATTAGATACACATTTTTATATACACATTTATACAGACCCACAGAGGGAAAAAAAGGGGGTTAATGGAGTCACAAGCATATATTATCTAATAGATAAAGAAAAAAGAAAAAAATTAAAATTTAACAATAGAAATAAATATAAATATAAATATGAATGTATATAAAGTAAAATAAAATAAAATGAAAATAAAATAAAAATAAAAATAAAAAAGAAGAAAAATAATAATAAGAATAAAAATAAAAAATAAATATAAAATTAAATATAAATATAAAAATCAAAATAAAATAAAGTAAAATAAAAATGTAATAAAATAAAATAAAATACAAATAAAGAATAAAAATAAAATAAAATAAAATAAAAAATATAAAAATAAAAATAATAAATAAAGATAAAAGTAAAATAAAGATCCAAAATAGGAAAGATTATTGTGATCAGTGAGGATGATGATCGGTTCAGATGACCCCTCTAACAGATGCCGCCATTCTTTGAGCGCTGAAATGATAGCCAACAATTCCCTATCTCCTATATCATATCTTCGTTCTGTTTCCGTCAGTTTTTTAGAGAAATAGCCACAGGGATGCAGGGGTTGATCATTCGAGGATCTCTGAGAGAGTACAGCCCCTATCCCTGTCTCTGAAGCATCCACTTCTAACAAAAAAGGACGCAAAGGATTAGGGTGACTTAACACCGGGGCTGAAGAAAAGGCTAGCTTCAATTTTTCAAAAGCTTCCTTAGCTTCGGTACTCCACACCGTATGACTTCTATTCTTCTTTGTCATAGCGGTAATAGGAGCGGTAATAGAGGAAAATCCTCTGATAAACTTTCTATAGTAATTAGCGAACCCCAGGAAACATTGGATGGCTTTAAGTCCAATGGGTATGGGCCAATTTAAAATTGCTTCCAGTTTTTTAGGTTCCATTTGAAAGCCTGAACCTGAAATTATGTAACCCAAGAAATTAACCTTCTCCACGTCAAACAAAAATTTTTCTAGTTTACAGTAGAGTCCGTTTTTCAATAATTTAGATAGAACTATCCTAACGTGTCTATGGTGCTCCTTGATATTCTTAGAGTAGATGAGTATGTCGTCTAAATAGACAACAACAAACGTGTAGATAGTCCCTTAATACATCGTTTATGAAATCTTGAAAGACTGCCGGGGCGTTGCATAAGCCGAAGGGCATAACCCTATATTGATAATGGCCATAGCGAGTATTAAAAGCCGTTTTCCACTCATGTCCCTTCTTAATTCGAACTAGATTATAAGCTCCCCGTAAATCTAGCTTAGTGAATACGGTTGCTCCCTTCAACCTATCAAAAAGCTCAGTAATGAGCGGAATTGGATATGCATTTCGTACTGTTATTTTATTTAATCCCTGATAGTCAATGCAGGGTCTCAAGTCACCTTCTTTTTTGGAAACAAAGAAAAACCCTGCACCAGCTGGGGAGGATGACTTGGTAATAAAACCCTTCTTCAAATTCTCTGTGATGTACTCTTCAAGTACTTTGTTTTCTGTCACAGAGAGGGGATACACGATACCCCTAGGGGGCATAGTACCGGGTAACAAATTAATAGCGCAGTCGTAAGAACGATGGGGTGCTAATTTGTTTGCTTCCCTTGGTTCAAAGACTGCCTTGAGATCCTGATATGGTTCGGGTACTCGAGTGGTTAATGGTTCCATGGTAGGAACGTTGAGGAGTCCTATAGGTTTAACTCGACTGATACACTCCTTAAAACAAGAGTCACCCCATTTCACAATCTCTTTTCTCTCCCAGTCAATTAGAGGATTATGCTTGGTAAGCCAAGGAAACCAAGTATAATCGGAAAGGTGGGAGAAGGTATTTGCTGTAGGGTTATGGTTTCTTTATGTAACAAACCTACAGTCAAGACTAAGGGTTTGGATTCTTGAGTAATAAAAGGAATGGATAGTGGTCTACCATCTATGGCCTCAACGGCCAAGGGTGTTGATCTTTCTCGAAATGGGAGGTTGTGATGCTGGCCGAAAGTACGGTCGATAAAGTTCTCAGCTGCCCCAGAATCTATCAGCGCAGAGGTAGTTATTATCTTTCCCTCCCATACTATGGTTATCGGTAGAAGAAGCCTGAGTTCTTTCCTGTTTTGGAAGGAGGACATACACGTTACACCCAAGGCCTGTCCTCCTTGAGGGCTTAGGCGTTGGAGTTTTCCGGCCTGCTTGAGCAGTGTAGGCGGGCATGTCCTCTTTTCCCACAATACATACAAAGTCCCTCCCTTCGTCTATATTGTCTCTCAGGTTCAGGCAACCGTGTGGCTCCCAATTGCATGGGTTCTGCTTGAGCGACAGTGGTTTCCTCAGACGAAGGGAACGTCAATGCCAGGCGTTCCGGCACACGCCTAGGTCTATCCCTGGTGTTTTGTCTATGTCGGAGACGTTCGTCTATATGTGCTAGATATGTAATCAATTCCTCTAACACATTAGGGAGGTCTCGGGTAGCTACCTCGTCTAAAAGCTTGTCAGAAAGTCCATTCATGAACACATCTACAAAGGCTTGCTCATTCCATCTGACCTCTGCAGCATGAGTGCGGAATTCCAGGGCATAGTCAACCAGGGAACGAGACCCTTGTCTCATTCGTAAGAGGGTTTTAGCAGCATTAGTACGTCTTCCAAGGGGATCAAATGTTCTCCTAAAGGCTGCGACAAACTCTGCGTAGTTAAAAACTATGGGATTGTCGTTTTCCCACAATGGATTGGCAAAAACTAGTGCTCTATCGACTAACAACGTTATAATATAACCAATCTTTGATCTATCGGTAGGATATGCCCTAGGATGAAGTTCAAAGTTAATACTAATTTGATTGAGGAAACCCCGACAACCTTTGGGATCACCTCCATAACGGAGAGGGGATGTAGCATGGGCAGAAGCCCCCCCTGCCGCCATCTCCATATGAGGTTCCTGAGGTCTATGACCCGAGATATGGTCTTCTGGCTGTAGATGTGCAGTCCGAGCTAACAGGGTCTGAACAGCTACAGCAAACTGGTCCATACGATGGTCCAGTTCCTCAAACCGATTATCAGGAATCGGGCCATGAGGATTAGCACCTGCAGGGTCCATGGCCCTAGTGTAATGTCACGACAGTGACCCCTTCACACAGATGGTAACCCAGAAATGGACGTATACCGGACCTTAGAGTGGCCGGACTTAACGTCAGAGAATAGTCAAAAGAAAAGTCAAGGATCAAGGGAGTACGGAAATCGGGATAAACGAGAAAGCCAAGCCAAAAGTCGGGGAGCCAGATAGGAGAATCGTCAGTACGGAAGCCAAGGGTCAAAATACCATAAAAACAGATAACTAAGTATAAGAGCACCAGAGGAACAATCAAGAACCACACTAGGGCACTGAGGGATGGACAGGGATGCCCTTTTATACTGATGTGTGTGTCACTTTAAAACCACGCCCCCAAAAGGTCTGGGAGCGTGACCGCGTTTGAATTTTCGCGGCAAAACTATCATGATGTCGGCGCGCATGTGCCGCGTCATAAAACTGATATTGCCGGGAGCGGGCAGCGTCTGACAGGCTGCGCCGCCTCCCGGAAGCAGCCGGGGGAACCGCCGTGCTGCGCGGGATCGGCGGACACAGGTAAGGTATCGTCACAGCCCCACCCATATGATCTGCCATGTTAACTAACGCCAGTGCTGCAGTGCCGCCGTGTTTACATTAAAAGGCCTGCAGGGACAGGCTATAGACACCAGAACCACTACATTAAGCTGAAGTGGTTCTGGGGACTATAGTGTTTTTAATGTGAGGTAGATTAGAGATTAGTGCCACGAATAATATACTAGATTGCCTACTTACAACCAGATGAGGATAATGATGGGCTCTAACTGCAGTCTGGCTCCACTGGTCTGGTGTAGAACAGGCTCTCTGGAGGCTGTTTGTAACTGTGGTCACAAAAATCAATGTTCTGGGAGAACGGGAAGCAGGTCCATTTTTTTTAAAGGCCCTTTACACAGCTCAAGGTCTGGGTCCCAGGGTCCACCTTCATGTTCCACCAATGAGTTTGTTCACAGGGGGTGGAGTAGGGGGATGTCCTGATATGTGTGTAAGGAATACATTGTGTGAATCTCTGTTTGTATGTGTAAGGGCTGCAAGGTGTGTTTCTGTGTATGTACGGGATGCAGTGTGCTCATCTGTAAGGTGTGCATTGAGTGTGTGTAAGGGGAGCATGGAGTGTATGTAAGGAATGCATTGTGTGTTTGTGTGTGTGTAAGGGATGCATTGTGTGTAAGGGTTGCATTGCTTGTGTGTGTATCTGTGTGTGTAATGCATTGTGTGTTTTTCAGTGTGCAAGGGGTGCATTGTCTTTGTGTGTAAGGGATGCATTGTGTGTGTGTGAGATGGATGTCACTCTCTTCTCCCCCCCTTGTCCCTCTCTTCTCCCCTGCTTGTCCCTCTCTTCTCCCCTCACCACTCTCATTCCCCCTCCCTCCCCGTCAGTTCCCCTCCCTGTCAATTTCCCCCCCCCACCCTGTCAATTTATTCCCCCCTCCCTCCCTGTCAATTTATTC